GTCATTTCCTTGCGGTCTCTGTGGGTAAGAGGCCCTATACCTGCTTTCTTTTTAATAGAGATGTGCACCCTTCCTGTGTGTCCCAATCAATAGCCTTCAGTCAGACATCACTGTCCTGCAGCAGCGAGGAGATTGATTGACGATTCAGTTGTTTATCGCCATTTAAGGGATGCAATGCACCAACAGTCCATCTCTATTGGGTAAAATTCATATGCGATTGTAGCGCAGCAGTTGGGAGCTCTAACATGATCAAATCAATGCACACTAGCTTGATAGGTTAGTGAATGAGCAATGAAGCGGCAGCACGGTATACAGACATGTTGTTTTGAAAGTGTGGAGCATAGTGAGCAGCAGAGAAGTAGATACCTCTGCAGCATTTCTGCAGCACAAATTTCTGTTGATATTTCCTTAGTTTTAAGCGTCCTTTGAAGTCTGCAGAACATAAGTGCTCAGTACTATCCAGGATGGATTATTTTTGAGGAGGTTTTCACACCAGTGCTTTTCTTTACCCCCTTGGTGGGATTCATTTCAGGGCTCGACAATAACGGTGGCCTGATGGCCTGGGGCCAGTAAAAAGTAACATCATGACTGTTGAACTAGCCCGATCGGCCAGTGAAAATCTTATATTATTGCTTATATTATTTCACCATGTAGTTATAAAAGGATATAAACAATCAGTATTTCCACAATTTTCTGTGTTTATGTTCAGTCAAATTGAACTCTGTGCAAAACAAAATGGGTGGGTCAGTCAGCCAGAAGCAAATACATGTCACTCTGCTGCTCATGAAAATGAATGGGATGCCAAATCCAGCACCTTTAAAGCCATACACATTCATAGTACACCCACACAGGTGTTTCCACAGATTTTGCCTGAATTTACCTCTTCCACAGACTCTGTAGGCCGTGCATGGTCCTGATAGTTTGGTTGCAAACTGATTTTTGGACATTAAGAAGTTATTATTTTAGAGTTTTTAATCACCATGTTTAGCCCAACATTACACTGTGCTGGCGCATCACTCTCTCAGTCAAAATGTGACATGTCCTTTTTCCAGGGCTGAATGTGGGGAGGTTTTGTTGAACAGAAGGCTGATGTCACCGAACCTTTATCATTCCCATTAGTTCATGAAGTGGTTACCTCATGTACCTCCCAGCATAGCTCCGGACAACTTCAACCTGAGTAGAGGTCTAACCAACCAGAACAAGGGGAAGACACACCCCTGTGCTTTATAGTACTCTTCATAGGACTGTAAAACTACAAATCCATTAATATTACAAATAAAACCAGCACCTGGGGTTTATCATCTTATTACAAAACAACACAAAACCACCAAAAACAATATACAACGTTATTTAATTTCTAATTGGTAGATAGTAGGGGTTGCCTTCAAAAAAACAGATCCACTGGTTTCCTACCAGCTGGTCCCGGCCAAGAAATAGTTACACACATAACCCTGAATCCCGAATAAAACGACGAATACCATGAAATTAGTTTTCCAATGTGAAAATTAGTGAGGTTTAGAAGTGCTGAACCATGCTACCGGTTTCCCTCAGTTTCTAGTCTTTATGCTAAGCTAAGCTAACCGGCTGCCGGCTTTAGTTACATATTTACAGTACCGTTCAAATAATAATCATCTCATGTAACTCTCAGCAAAAAAGCGAATTAAGCGTATTTCCCTATATATTTCTTTAAGCAGCACAGAGGCTCAGCAGAGTTAAGGGAGCCTCTCTTCAGTTCCCCCAAAACCCTAATGATGTAGCAGAACCATGATTTGCCTGAGGCTGAAGGCTGAGGTGCAGGATGTAGCGCTGTATGATGGCTGCACCTTCATTATCACAGATCGATATTTACCAGTATCTGTGGGTGGGGGTTCACGTATAAGATATGGGTAGAGTTCAGGTAGGCTTGTGTGTGTGGAGAGAAATGCAGTCTGTGCAACTGTTACTATCTGACTTCCTCTTGCGTTCTGTGGATCAGATGGCTTGTTAGTAAGACGAGAAAGCCTGGTATAGAAAACTGTCTGAGTGGAGAACAGGCGTGGCCCTGAGCTGCAGTCCTCTGCAGTGTCTCCCCCTCTTCCTCCTCCTTGTACAGCACCTCAGTAGTGACTTGTGTTAATTAGGCCAGGAAGTCAAAGCAAATACTGTCCATCGATTCCTGTAATCAATCTGGCCCCTTCTACCTTATCAGCCTAGTTGGAGAGACAACCATGGTTGCCTTCTAGGCTTACACGCACACATCCATTCGTGCATATGAACATGTCTTTTTCTTTTGTTGTCTGACTATGCTGTGACCACGACCACCTTCCCGCCTCTCTTCTCATCATCACTACACGAGCCATAGCAACAGTCAGCTGCTTTGTCGTAGCCGTTCTAGTTTCCTGATCATTTTTTCAATATGTATTTAATGTTGTCATGTCAGGGAAACACCCTCCTATAATGAAACAAATTGTGATAGAAGGTACAAATATTGATTTCCCCCCACCCCCCAGCTTCATATCACCATGATCAGTGATATAGTGGTACACTCCGTCCTCTCTCTCTCTCTCTTGTCTCTTCCTGGAGAGTAATCACTGCAGGGAAATGCTGCTCTGTGGCAGAATTCAGGAACAGGGCGTGATACGGCTGCAAGGTATCAAACGTTAAAATTAGAATTTAAAGTACACTTACTGCCAGCCAGCCATTTCATACCTGCTGGTTGACGAGCAAAGTAAAATACTGGTCATGATTTTATAATAGGAGCAACGGTCCTGTTGTGGTTTTCATTAGTCTGGAGCAGATGTGACCTGAGGTGTCCTGTTGTCCTGTATCTGCTCTCTCTTACAGAGGGGTGAATGGTATTTATTTAAACACTGTGTTTTTGAGCTAGTGAGGAAATCAGTTACTACAGTAGCGCACTGCAGCATGATGCACTGAAAGAATATTAATGAAGAAGAGCTGTGTATGTGCATCTGTCCAAAGAAAAAAACAACAATGTTTTGTACTTCTGAGCTTCTCTCAGCTAAAAGGTTTAGATGAGGAGGGAGACAGGAGTGTGTGTGTGTGTGTGTGTGGTGTACTCCCCAGCAGCAGAGACATGAGCTGCAGACAGACTGCTGTTTAATAGATTACAAGGGAACATGGCGACCCCATCGATCGCATCCCCTCAACACGCACCCTCTCCCAGAACTCAGTGGTGTATGGTTACAGCGAGACAAATCAGAAGCACTGCCAAGGACCCAGAAGTGTGTGAGCGTGTATATGCACTCAGGTGCTTCCACTTCGGTCCTCAGGAGGGTATATAGGTGGATGGATGGATGTGTACAGGAATCTTCCTTAAGTCAAGAGTAGGAGTTGATATTTGAAAACCAAATAGTGGTTACTTGTTTAATGAAATGTATGGGGTTGATTGTTCTTATGTAGTTTGTATGATGCTTTGGCAATATTGTTGTTACACATTCATGTCAATAAAGCTAATTTGAATTGAATTGATTGTCCTCACAAGTATAGATACATAGATGTGACAGCGCAGTTATAATTTATTCTAACAACCCCTCTTAACATGCAGCAGGTCTGTGTTTTTAATTTCTTCACCCTCTTTACTCCTGATTACATTCTCCTCCCCTGCTTCCATCTGTCTCTGCCTCAAACTCAGAGGCTCTGACTGACGGTTCGCTGCCACTTTGCTGTGTACTCACTGCCAGCAGAGCAGCTTTTGCTGTAGCTTGTAGAGGAGAAGCCAGGCCTCCCGCAGGTATCTTTTTATAAGCATGTTTTTAACTATTGTTCACTTTCTGCCACACAGATCAGCAAATCTAATGGAGACACTTTATTAACTGTAGTGGCACAGTCAGTCACTTAAAGTCCACAATTTTATTAGTTTCTATAGAGGAAGTTTCAGTTGCTGCAGGTGGTGTTTTGTCTGTCCAGCTGTGGAGGGTACTCTTGCTTATGTGAGGGTTTTTTTCCGTCTCACAAACCAATGGCATTAAACACATCTCTCTTTATGAGGCACAAGGTTGGAAAACAGTAACTTATGTTTTACAGGTTGCCAATTAAGTATAAAAAAACGGAGAATCTGTATACAGTACATGGTAAACTGATTATTTCTCAAAATTATGTATTATAGTTGCACATTTTCAGTGTAATTCTAAGCCACAAAAGTAAAAACTAGAAATGAACAACACACTGTCAAAAGGTTAATAAGGGCAAGTGCCAACATTCATTTCATTTAAGAATTTCAGAATTTTGGGTTGTAAAATCATTTTTTCCGGTCTTATAAGCCTCCTAACCGAGGGATTTATTTCTCAAACTGGCAACAAACATTTTTTGAGTGCAGGGCTGTTCTCAGCCTGAATGTCTGTTAACAGGTATAGTGACACAACAGAATTTTGCTCAGAGGAACACTGTATCCCTCTGGGACGTCTGGGAAGTTTATCCCAGCGGATCCTGTTTTCCACCCTCTGTGTCCCCGGGCTTATAGTTCTTGATCAATGCTGTTTTGACTTCGTCCGTCCATCAAACTGTCGCTTCTGTAGGTTGTAAACCATATCGTTTCACAGATTCCTGTTTTTATTTCAGTGTGTGTTGATTAATAATTGATAATGAAAACATGTTTTGCTGACTCCTTCAGTGCTCGTGACACTGCTGGAGTCTCACACCAGAGAGTCTCTCTGTCTGGATGGTAGCTGCTCTCAGGGGGTGTTACAGCTCTGCTGACTGTGCATGTTGCGGTCTTCATGGCTGCGGGCAGGGACACGACAGGGGTGTGACAAATCGTTATTAGTAATGTTTGTCATGGTGGTGTAAGTTTGAATGTGATTGACGTGCAGTCGGTTCATTTTGAAGTTCTTCTCCAGGGTTCATCACAAGGTCATTGATGCGATGCGAGTTTTCTGCAGTGAGTGCTAGCATATGAAAATGATGATCCCAGGTGGCAGCTTCTGTTAGTGTGAGATTTCTGTTAGATGAGGTCATGCAGGTTGTCCACCATTTTCTAAACTTCTTTCTTCTTTCTTTTCCAGCTGAAACTTGAAGATCGATCTATTGTCATTAGAGACATCGTGCGACGAAACAATTGTAATGTAAGTGGCGTCCTCAGTATGCATCTGGTAACTCCTTTTCACTTCAGCCCTCTCATTCTGTCTTTTTATTTCTAACTGCTTCTTTTTTTTTTTCAATCAAGTCTCTCTTATTGTTAGTCGTGTCACTGCTCACCGCTCTGTTCCATTTGCTGCTTCAGACATGACTGGAATATTACTGCAGGTCAAACACGCACAGAGGACTAAAAGGAAACTTTGTGTTAAAGCAGTGCAACAACTCCCAATCTGAATATAAATACAACATTAAACTTTGATTAGATTTTCTTTTGGTTGAAATTCATTAAACTTGATGAAAAGGATAGTGTAGCAGGTCGTTAATATGAAGATATGCTGAACTTGTTGCATTACAGGACAACCAGTGTGGTATTGTGACCAACATTGATATCGAGTGTGCCGTGAAACTGGTGGGAACGAACTGTGTTCTGTATCCAGTTAACAGCAAAGACCTGCAGCACATCTGGGTAAGAGAATTTTACTGAATAGGGATAGGTCACAACTTTTCAGTAGTCTTTCAATTATAAAAAAAAAAAATTGGATGATGTTTATGCAACTATCGTCTGGTCTTCAAAAATATATTTTCCTTTGTTGAGAGATGAATACAAAATGATCAGTCTCATGGTATATTGCTTAATGCTTTCAGAAACTGATTTAGCAGTATCAGATAACCAGATCTCTGTCATTGTTGCTGATAGGGTTGGGTTAGAGAAATAGTAGTGGCAGTGGTAAACCTCTGCAACTTTCAGTGTAAAATTTATAGGTTTCCTGTCGTCATTGTCTTCTTTCCAGTCGTTTATGTACGGCGATTACATTGCCTATGACTTCTGGCTGGGGAAAGTGTACGACCTGACCAATCACATAATCCTCAAGCTCTCCAATGGAGCCAGGTAGGTGTGTGTATGCGTGTGTGTGATTATACAGCGTATACTGTGACCATGTCGGAGTGTTTGCATGCTGCATGCATTCACCTTTGCCAGATCCAGTGAATGTCAACTGGTCACTGGTCTCTCTCTTGTCTCCCTCCAGGTGCTCCATGAGTGTGGAGGACGGTGCCAAGCTTTACGACGTCTGTCCACATGTCAGTGATTCGGTATGTAGCCACAAGCTCTTCTCTGTCTAGAGCTGTTAGTCAGGGGTCAGATCCCTTTAAAAAATGACCGAAACAACTGTTAATAGTTCTCATTTGTCGTGGTCTGTAACCAGAGATTAGTTACATTTACTTGTTGTTGTCTTGATCCACTGACACTTAAATTAATGTTCTAAAAATAGACTTGATTTTTGTTTGCATTTTATTTATTGTGGTTCTCTAATTTGATTATACGCTGAATGTCTAATATCGGTCCTCTGCTTTTGAGTCATGTAATAGAACATTTACACGTGTGTGGGTCTAAGACATGGGTGTCATTTACACTGGGGAAGCTGGGACCACATTTTGAAATGGCTGATTTTGTCCCCATCACTTATTGAAAGCATTTGTTAAAAATGTTCTAAAAAAGCTTGCACCAAGAAATGTTAAATAATAAATGAAAAGTTAATTTGCACTATAAGAAAACATGCAATGCAATTTAAATATAGCAGAAACAAATGTGTGCACTGTCCAGTATTATATTCTGTTATATTTTTATATTTATGATTTGTCACCTGCCAGCTGAATTTTTCTGTTTCCTTTGTTTTTATATATATATATACGACATTTCCACTGTAAATTAGAGCAGAAAATGTCTCCAGAATGCAGGAAATTAAGTGTTTAATGCTCCAATGTTCTGGGGGAGGACCCCAAGAACCCCTGCTCCTATATTTCAGCATTTCATGTTTCTTAAAAATAACGTTAAAAATGTTCTCATCTTGAATTCTGAATATCTATTAGAAATAGCTTAGTAACAAAAGACTGTGCTGCTAAAGACCTACAGATCAGTGATATTGTGCTGTATTAATTTTTTACAGCGTTTTCCCCACAGAGCGACATTAATGTCCAGAAAATGTCCATTTATTGCAAAATTAAAATGTGATATGCTGCATTGCAATAGACATTGGCATTTTTTAGCTGTACATGTTATAAAATAATACTGAATATTAATATAATGTGTTGTTGTGTTGCCTCAAGCATCTGATAAACCTCAGCATAATGTTCTTCCTTCTTTAGTCATATTGTTTCTTTGTTTACTCTGTTTACTCTTCAGGGGTTGTTCTTTGACGAGGCGTACGGTTTCTACCCAGGCCAGGTCCTGATTGGTCCGGCAAAAGTCTTCTCTAATGTTCAGTGGCTGTCAGGGGTCAAACCCGTCCTCAGCCGGAAGTGCAAGTTCAGGGTTGTGGTAGAAGAGGTGAGACGATGGTGATGGCCCTCTCTTTTAATGCGCGTCTTCTTTTCACTGCAGCATCCTTTATTTAACTGAGAGGAAACAACCCATTTAGGGACATTCTGTGTTTGTATCTGCAGCCCCTGGTCACACAATTTATTCACTCCCTTCTGCATAATACAAAGAAAATGCTTTTTAGGTTTACTAGCAGAAAGAGAAGAATTATATCACTATGACTTTCATTCATTCATTCAAACCTTTATTTAACCAGGATAAAAAACTCCTTGAGATTAAAAATCTCTTTTACCAAAGTGCCCTGGCAAGTGGCAGCAGCGCGGTTAGAAATAGATACAGAGACACTTACAGATAAAATACATAGACACAATTTCACTCATCATATTCAAACAACAATGTCATCATAAAAAAACCTGGGTCCTGAATCAATTTAAAAACAATGACAGACAGACAGCCTTTCTGCAAGGTCCTTTAAAAAGCCTTTAAAAGAATAAAGTGAGACCAACTCCTTCAACTGTAGTTCATACTGAAGCAGATTCCATGCAGATGGTGCTGCAAAATTAAAAGCCTTTTTGCCAAAGTCAGTGCGGGCTTTAGGGACCGTCAATAAAAACAGATCCTGTGAGCGCAGGTGATATGTCCCTGCAGGGCTCGGGAGGATGTAAGTGTTCACGATGATAGTATAATCACAAATATCAGAACCTCCAGTTAACACTGTGCACAAGTCTTTTTTTGTTTTGTTTTACTGTTTTGGAGTCATATACTTGAATAAATTGGGGCTTTACGTGTAATTGTGGATCTTAAATTGTCTAAAAGGTGTCTGTGGTGTCATTGTGCTCTCCTCAGGTAAAAGTGGTAGAGCTGAAGGTGACGTGGATCACCAAGAGCTACTCTCCCAAAGGTTCAGACAGCGTCTATCCTCCTCCTTCCACCATCACACAGGAAAATCTCTGCAGGTCAGTGGAAACATTCCTCCATATGTCCTCACACAGATTTATTTATGCTGTTGTGGTGATCTTTTGGTTGCCATAGCTTGAAGTCTGTTTAATTGTTATTTTCTGACAGCTTTAAGAATTTACATAAATTAGTAAATTGCTATATTGTGCTCGTGCTTGTGGTATTCAACAACGCATTCATTGGTAACATGTTTAGGGACATCTTAGGTCTGTGCTCAGGGCTTGCCCGCGGGGTAATGTTACTGTGCTGCTTGGGTTTAGGGTGAGGCGTCTGGGATACTACGACCACACCCAGAGGCAGCTAGGAGAGAGGGCCCTATATGTTTTCCCTGCTAAGGGGGATGCCACACGCATCACCTGTGAAGGACCCGAGGGTGCCCCTGTCCTGCCCGAAGACCCCGTAGCCAGAAAGGTGAGGTTAAAAAGCGATTTGTATATCTCTGAGTATGGATTTAATTGTGCTCTTTTATGGTATATGAAGAACTTGTTACCTGGATGATGTAGCCGGTTATGCCCTCAGGAGCATATTAACACCTTAAATCACATGTTTTACACAAGAAGTTAATGAAGAGGAGGTGATTAGTGACGGGTGTATTTTTTGAAAGTTTGGTATTACAGAGACTGTCAGTGCTTCTTAACTGCAAGGTATTTTTTGATCATCTTCTCCCTCTGTATGTGTGTGTCTGTGTGTGTCAGTTGAAAAGGATGTTCAAGAAGGATTCGGGGAAGAAGATGGAGAATGCTGATGCACAAGGTGCCAAACAACACTAAGCAGAAAACAGTTTACAGAGGAAAATGCAGCGCGCACACACACACGCACACACACACACACGCACGCATGCACGCAGGCAGGCAGGCAGGCAAAAATTCATTTATAACACCTTGTTTTGCACTTGTTTCTGACTACTGATCAAATTCAATGTTTTCCAGTGCGGAGCAACATCTTCTGCCCTTCACATCAAAAATGCAGATATGTTTTGATTGGAGTACAGTGTGTTGACAAAAATAATGTTTGGAAAAAACTTTTTTTTGCCGGTTAATGAATCATAAAATGATACATAGATTAATTCATCATTGGTAACAGGATATTTTAACTATTACAATCAAGTTAATCATTATACAGGCCCACGCCATACACTACTTCATTTATTTCTTTTATATATTTGCCATTAGTGTTACGTTTTGACAAGTTTGAACTGTAAAATGTCCTACTTTGTACATATCTTGGTCGCAACTTCTTACTGAACAAGATATTGGCCAGTATTTTTTTTATCAGATTATTTTAATGGGTCTGCCTTTAAAAGTCCAGTATCAGTTGGGTAGTTTAAGTTTGTTTTTAAAAAGGTTTGAATTTGTAAATCTCTCTAGTCTCTATGAATGGTCATCACACTAAGCGTCAGAATGATTTTAAAGTCCCTGTGAGTCCTTTTCACAAGCACAGAGGAAACAGACTAATTGAAAATTGTGCTTAAGTGAAGCAAACTTTAGCTGAGCTGTCTGCATGATCCAGGAAAACAGAGGATTTCTTTGTCTCTCTCTGTAAAGCCCTAGCTAAATAAAAACCTGAAGTACTCAGACTGACCTTATTTTTTTCACCAATTCAAATTGATTCACCTCAGGGAATGATAAAGAACTATATATAATGTATTTTTCCCTTCTGAATGATTTTGTATTTTTAAGTAAAAACCAACTAATGATGATCCATACCGTAAACTCTTCTGTTTTATCTGTCACCAGGCGAGCACAAATCAGAGCAGACGGACTCGTCTCATCCCAGCAACAACAACAACGGACCTGTGGTTCCCATCCAGAACCCTCCGGACGCGCACAACACCAACGACACCTCAGCTGAACACGGGGAGCAGGACGCCGACGACGAGGCTGCCGAAGACACTGACGACACCAGGTCTGTTAACATAGTTATTTGATTTTGTTTGTTAAGCTTGTTTTTCATTATTAATGAAGCTGAGCCACTTGTTCTCAGCGAAATCCATTTCATGAGTGTGTTGAGAGTCTCAACACACTCATGAAATGGATCTTGAGACAGACGGCAACACACACACTTTAATTAGGTTCATGTTTAATTACATTTTTTTTTTAATTATTATACCTAACAGGACAATTAACCCCTCAAATGTGAGTAAGTAAGTGATTATTTCCATAAGTGACAGAAATAAGCCTTTTCACTTTGGCAACTGAAGTCTGATGCTTGGCTGAGAGCCTTCCTTTTCTAAACGTTACAGTTGTGACCACAAAGCTGAATCATCATCATCATCTCTCAAACACGGCCTCAACAAAATGATTAACCTTAAAACCTCTAGAAATGTAGTCTTATAGTAGTAGGGCTGTTGCACTGAATTTCATTACATTTTATTGTGATCACATTATTGTGTCCATTGTGTCTGCTCCTCGAGATCTTTATCCAGACTTCTGTCCTAAAATATGTCTGCATAAACTTCAGATACTTCTATGTTAAACCCAAATTTTTTGCCGTACTGTAAATCAGAGCTTTCACAATTAAGTCAATTCATTGATTAATTGATAAGTTGATTAGCAGAAAACTAATTAGTGAAGTAATTTTTCTTCAAAACTGCCCATAATTCTCAAAGGTGTGGGTGGAAAACTGTCCTGTGTACATATGTATCTACAGTTAGTGATAGTGAATATTACTGACCTGTGGCTGTAACCCTGGTTGGCAGCTCTCTGACGTCATCGGCCAGCTCCACAGCCTCTTCTCAGAGCGGCGGTCTGGGAGCCAACCGGAAGAAGAGCATCCCGCTCTCCATCCGCAACCTGAAGAGGAAGCATAAGAAGAAGAGGACCAAGTTTTCCCGCGAGTTCAAGCCTGGAGACCGGTGGGTTGACAGCAGGTGGGGGGGGGGGGACACACCAGCACACAAACCTCCAGTATTTTTCCTTCTCTGCTCTGTTTACCACCATAACTCACATTTAGTCATCTTTGTTGCTTGCACTGCTTTGCACTTTATTTGTGTCATGTATTCATCACTCCTTCCATTCATATCCTTGTCATTTCTTACAACTAGTACGTCTGTCACACTGCTGGGCAGCTTTTCTGTAGATTTGGTGCCTCACCAGGCCGCTGTGGGCTTTCTCAAAAGTGACCGGTGATTGATCCAGTTCCTTTTTCTTTCTTTTTTTAAGTTTGGCGACCAACTTTTTTGACATTTTGCAGATCTACAGTATAAGGCTGCTGGTTCTGGTGACTGTGCTTCCTGCACATTTAGACCCCACCTTGCAGCTGAATTGGGAACTTGATGTAAAAATTAGACCAATGACATCATCTGTTGCCGACCGCTAAAGCAACCAACAGCTGTTTACCCTGGAAGAACTGACAACACTGTGTTTGTGTGTCCCTCCATCCTCTCTGTTGTTTGTCAAAGGGCTCATGTCTCGATCTGTCTGACAGCGACACTGGAGCTTGACTGCAGCCACACACAGTCTTTTCAGTGCAGACTACTGATGGTGTAATTTCCTCAACCCCACACTCGGATTTCACACTCACTCTCTCTTGCTCACTGTTTTTTTACTTTACACAACAGCACAACAACAGTGCAAATTTTCTGTTCTTCTTTTAGTTGCCAATTAAATTCATGTTTCCAAAAATGAAACCTTTTTACACGTGAGGCTTTCAGTTTGACAACCTCTAGTCTGACATAACAGCGAGAGTTTAGTTATTATGACTGTGTTTTGTGTTCAGCTGTAAGATGTTTGAGTTACATTTTACAAATCAGTGCTGCTCCGGATGATGATGCGGTTATTGTCAGACAGCGGATACTGGCATAATGTCAGTTATACTCTAATTCAAATCAACATAGGCTTAATTTTGTTATACAGCAGCTTTTCTTTTGTGTTGAGTGAAAAGTAGGTAACCACAAGAGGGAAATGCTCCTCTACATAATAAAAGGCAAGGTGATTTTTGTGTGTGTTTGTACAGGGTTGCAGTGGAAGTTGTATCCACAAAGACCACGGCTGATGTGATGTGGAAGGACGGGCGGGTGGAGAAGGGGATCCGATCAAATGACCTCATCCCCATCCAGCACCTCGACAGCCATGAGTTTTGTCCTGGGGACTTCGTAGTGGACAAACGACGTAAGGAAAATTTATTGAATTATATCTTCTTTTTATATGATGATTTTTGTTGTTTTATTTCATTGAGTGTTATTTCCCTTTTGAAATGTCCTCTGTCACTGTGAACTGCCATGAGATATTTTTTTTATATATAGGCCACTTGTCACCTAGTACCTACAGTATCTAGGACATTCACTGAAACTATGCCACATTTGTGTGTCTTGTGTAAAATGCACTGAAAATACAGGGATGTACTCTAAAGCTCCGACCTTACAGCAAACTCAAGGTTCCGTTTTCGTCCAGAAAAATAAAATTTTTATTATAAATCTTTGAAGTTAGAGTTTTCGGGTGTTTGCATTTTGTATACTTGCTCTCTAAACTCTGTACTTTCTGTGTTTGTGTGTGTGCTCTCTCAGCCCAAGCCCTGCAGGACCCGGGAGTATATGGTGTGATCCAGTCTGGTGATCACAAGGGCAGAACATGTGTCGTTAAGTGGATCAAACTCAACTCCTCCAGTGAGGATGTGGAGGTCAGTCAGGACTTTAAGAAAGTGAAAATCATGTGAAAATTTTATATTAGTGCAGTACTATAGAGGGAGGAGAGGGGGGGCTTTAATGCAGGTAGGGAAAGCTGTAGGCGGCAACCACAGCAGGTCTTATGTTGTGATGCCGGGCTGCTGTACTCGGCTCTTCAACTTTAAAGTAGAAATGAAATGTGGCTGGTTTTCTTTTTTGCTTTACTCCAGGTTATCGGCATTGAGGAGGATGTCAGCGTGTACGACATCGCAGATCACCCAGATTTCCACTTCCGCACCACCGACATTGTCATCAGAATATGGAACTCAGAGAACGGACAGAACGATTGCGAAAATGAGGTGAGAACAATAAAAAACAAAAAACCTCTGTCCTTTCCCATGCATCGCACGGTCCACCCTCACTGACGCAGATGGAGTGGACAAAATGACCAACACCCCTCAGTATGATGCACTACGATTCAACAGCACCACAAACTGCAGCCTCCAAAATGATCATACAGTTGAATCAACACCTCTCTAAAACAGTTTCAACAAATGGAACATTATGACCTTCATGACGGGAGCATTCGTTGCAGCTTATTGAACTTTTCTCCCGCACCACCCTCAGGGGAAGATATCCACTTTGCTTGAAACTCTGTCATAATCCAACTGATAAAGCCCTTATTAGCTATTCCCTAATAGCACATTTGTGCTATTAGGAGAAGCTGTGCTCATTTTAATGACGTCATAACCTTTTAGAGCAACCAAATGAAAATTAAATTCATGAGTATATATTTCTCTTTATCCAATAGTGTCATATTATGAAGTAATAAACACTGCCGTCTGTGGTGTTTAGTGCTAGTGAGGCTTTGTTCTTTTATTAAAGCCATGTTGGTTTTGTTTAGATTCTTTGAGTCTTGTTTTCATATTGTGTAAGGTGTAGACTGTTGTATATATCTCTACATCCTCCTTCCCTCAGACGTCAGTCGGCCAGGTGTCCAGGGTGGATGTGAGCAGCAAAGTGGAGGTGGTATGGGCAGATAACTCCATGACCATCGTCCTGCCACAGGTGAGTGTTTATCCTTGACGAGTTTATCCTCATTTTTGACGTTAGAAGTGAGACGCCTGTTGCTGACGGTGTCCTAATAATCACACACACACAGCACCTGTACAACGTGGAGTCTGAGATCGAGGAGACCGACTACGACTCGGTGGAGGAGACGAGCAGCGTCCTGTCCACTGAGGAGTGGGAGGACGAGAGCGACAGCTGGGAGACGGATAACGGCCTCACCACTGAGGATGACAGCCACATCAACAATGCAGATGCCACCGACACAGCAACGCCGACCCCCACCCCCACCGGCTCCACGACGTTCATCATCCCCCCTCAAGAGGGTAGCAAAGTTGGGGTCACCAGCCCCACTAAAGCGGTCCCTGGAGAGGAGGGAGAGGCGTCCGTAGCTGCGGCCAGTCCTGGAGGAGGTGGGGAGCTTATTTTGTAACATCAATATAATTTTTACTTTCGAGGAAATTGTGTCAACTTTACAAAACTTAAATCCTTCTCCCTGATTCTTTTGTCACCGCTCGTGATTATTTGTTCTGTAAAGGACAAAAGCATGAGAGCTTTTTTGTCCTACTTAGACTTTTAGAGTGTTAATAAAGCATGAGGGGGGGAAAAACCCCACCTAAACACACTGAAGAACCCCCCCCCCCACACACACATACACAGAGTAACTAATCATACACCTGAGAAACTGCACACAATGAAGTGATTTAAGTGTCCGGCTACGCGGGCACTCATGAGGACTCTTGCTGCTGCGTTTTGAATGAGCTGGAGCCTTCCGATTGTTCGCCTTTATTTGCTCTAATACATAATATTACACTTGTTTGATGTGTTAAAGGATAAGTGAAATTCTCTTTATTTATTTTATTTTTTGTCAACTAATGATCATATTTACGAGCTTTGCCGATGTATCCAAAGCCCGATTTATAAACTCTTCCTCAGTGCCAAGGAACTTTGTTGTTGTCCAAAAACAATTAGAAACACATTAATGAGCCACATCGTTGCAATGGGTGACATTTCCCCTCAATAGGTGATTTTATTTTGAGTCAGTCCCACATAAACCATCCTGCTGCTGTACATACTCACTGGAGCACCATATATGTGTGTCAGTCTGCAGCTGAAAATAACAAATGCAATATATTTTACTTTGGGAGGAATGTTTCCTAAACTACGGAGCCCAGCTGTTTCAGGAAATTAACCTTTAAAAAATTAGTAAATATTTCTGACCAGTTTTTACCCATCCATCCATCGTCAACCGCTTATTCTGCGTACAGGGTTGCTGACATCGGGCGAAAGGCGGGGTACACCCTGGACAGGTCGCCAGTCCATCGCAGGGCCACACATTTGTCTATGTGTGGCCCCACTCACGCTCACACCTAAGGACAATTTTGGAGACACCAATTAACCTAGCTTGCATGTCTTTGGATAGTGGGAGGAAGCCGGAGCACCCGGAGAGAACGAAGAGTTTTTACCCTTTCTGCTTAAACAGGAATACTGGGAGATGAACTAAGTGAACTATGATTTGCTGACAGTAACAGAAATATAGCCACCTAGCTTGACTTGATAAAACAATCACTCAATGTGGATTCAAACATCAGTTCATGCCTTCACATCATAAAAACATACTAGCTGCATCCAGACATACATCTAATTATACTAATGTGCTAATTTGTTATACATAAATCATTCTTTGACACAACTCTGCCTGCTTAGGAACCACTCCAGGAGCAGTCAACGGAGCGGAGAAGCCCAGTAAAGACGGTGCCCCTCGAGGCTTCAGGGAGTTGAAAGAGGCCTTGAAGATCCTGGAGAGTCTGAAGAACATGACTGTGGAGCAGCTGTGGACTGGCTATTCTCCAACCTCCCCGACCTCTGCCGAACCAGCTTCCACGACTCACGTAGCGGCTTCGGTGGCACCCACGGCCCCCGAGAAACCCACCAAGGAGAAACGCTTCCTGGACGACATCAAGAAGCTGCAGGAGAACCTGAGGAAGACGTTGGACAATGTGGCCATTGTGGAGGAGGAGAAGATGGAGGCTGTGGTGGAGGCAGGGGGAGGTGCAGGAGCTGGGACAGAGGTAGGTGTTAAATCAACCTACAACATGGCAGTTGATTTATTGTGTGCACAAATTTGCCTGTGCGATCTATAATCTATATAATATATTACTAGTTACTTATTACTCCTTAAAAAAGTAATATCATTACTTTAGTTATTACTTGGTGATAAAAGTAAGTAGTTACGTTACTATATTACTTTCCAGTGTTTCCCACAGAATGACAGGGGTGGGGGGGGTTATTCTAAGGTTGAACAGGTTTGTGCAGCGGTGTTCACGAGAGAGAGAGAAAGAGGGAGCGAGCCAGGAGGTGCTGCACAAATATATGCTACTCAATACAGCTCTTTAGAAAAAAAAAAAGATTTTAAATATGCCTAGAACAAATTTGGAAAATCAGTATGTGGCGGTCCGCGTTGATAATTATCCAAATTATAGGCTAATTATGGGAAACACTTCTTTCCCTACCACCCCCAAACAAAGCAGTCTCCCCCAACTTTTTAACTAACATTATATTCATAACAGCAGCAAGGAGTGTGGTTTTTACAAAGCATATAGCCTAGGCCTAACGTTTCTTAACGCCACTGGCTGAAATAAAAAAAATAAAGCAAGTAAATCCCGACTTTTAAACAGCGGTTTTACAGCACATGTGGCCTATTAACGTTACGTTAACGCCACACTCTCCCAGTTCGGTAAAGTTAGAAATATATTCACAGATTCGAACTTCCAGGATCAATAACTCGTAAGCAAAACGTGTTTAAAACACAAACAACGCCTCTTTACTATCGTAGTTAAGTAGACAACAAGCTACAAGTACATTTTCACCTAAATGAGTCGTCCAACGAGCGGCACAAATAACATTGGTCTCTACGTACAGCCGGCTGTGAGACGAGTGCGCAGGGACCGTCTACAAATTACAACGCCGAAAACACATACTGCAGAAATATTCAATAACTTCACACTTATAAAATGTAGTGCCCCTAAAATCACCTTACACATTCATGATATACTACTGGTTATACTACAACACTTAGTTTGGGGAAAAAATACTTTTGCATACCTAATATTAGGTAGGCCTATTTTTAATATTCAATAACTACACTGTTATGAGCTGTTATGAGCTCACACATCACTGATATCCTGCTGGTGATACTACAATACTTAGTTCATAGAAATATTGGTTGGCATATTTTTGGCAAATTTTAATATTGAATCAAATTCAATAACTTCACTATTAGAGGCTGTAGTACCGTCAAATTCCCCAAAATTATAGAATATTAAAATTCCCCAAAATTATGCAAAACTATATTTCTATGAACTAAATATTGTAGTATCACAAGCAGGATATCAGTGATGTGTGAGGTGATTATGGAGACACTAGAGCTTCTAACAGTAAAGTTATTGAATTTTATTGAGGACAAAAATTTCCCCAAACTATGCAGAAGCTTTTTTTCTCTCAATAAGTGTTGTGGTATAAAACAAAAGGTGACCCCTAGTGGTTGAACTTTGATTTGACGGTACTACAGCCTCTAATAGTGAAGTTATTGAATTTTATTGAATATTAAAATTCCCCAAAATTAAGCAAAACTATATTTCTACAAACTAAGTGTTGTAGTATCATAAGCAGGATATCATTGATGTGTGAGGTGATTTTGGAGACACTACAGCTCATAACAGTGAAGTTATTGAATTTTATTGTCTATTAAAATTCAACAAAATTATGCAAAACAATATTTCTATGAACTAAGTATTGCAGTATCACAAGCAGGCTGCTTCAGCAGATGCTTCAAATGCAGAATTGTTTGCGGTTGAAAGCTTTTTGCTGGTCGCACAGAGTTTATAGATGACACTGTTCTTTGCATCTTAGACTGTGACACAATAATGGCAGCAGCTACTTACAGCTGTGGAAAGAGCGCCTCTCTCCCTCGTTCTCCTTTCTTTATTTAGTGTTTGGCTCTCAGCGGCCATGAACAACAAAGTCCGGTCCCGCTGAGCCGTCGCACAGTCGTGGATTTACGTCAAGGATGGTGCGTTCAGTAACGAGTAACGCAGCGTTACTTGCCTTAGTAACTAGTAATAATATTACCGTTTTAGAAAGTAATTAGTTACACTACTTAGTTACTGGGAAAAGTAATATTATTACAGTGCCCAACACTGGTGATCTATAAATAAACGCGTAAGCAGGTGCCACGTTTTGACATACCTGCCGATATGTTGCTGTTCAGGCAGAGAGAGCTGGAGAGGAAAAGCCTCAGCAGGAGCCACAGACACCGGTGGGTGGACAAGAATGGCCCAGTGAGTTTCTCAGCGACACACCAGTGCTGTGCCAACAGAGTGGAGGCAAGCCTGGCGTCACCTTCACCAGTGCCAAAGGAGAAGTGTTCTCTGTGCTGGAGTGGGCACCAGGTGAGAAACTAGGATGCATAATCTGAGACTTTCTTCTTTCATTCTGTTCCTCCTTCCTTTATTTCCCTCTCTCTCTTCTATTTGGTTTCATTTTCAACCTCCTGAAAGGCTCTGTTTACTTTAATTGGATGAATGAAAACACAATGACCAAACAAGATTAGTTATACAGTACTAAAAAGTTATACTGTACAGACGTCCAGCTCCTCTCAAGAAACCAGATGATCTGTACATTGTTGTACAACCTGAGATGAAACAAGGAGTTAAAGTCAACCTGTCTGCTTTTAAACTGATACTTTGTGGCATTAGCATGTCTATCAGCATGTCTTATTTTGAAGAAGTCGGACAAAAAACAAAACAGTTCTTCATTACTATGAGTGACAGTAGCTGCTTCCCATTTCCATTCTCTCAAGTTGTGTTTGTACATTTTTATTTATTTCTGTGTTACCATCTGTCCGTCTCATCGCTTTCTTTTTTTTTTTAAGACACACACTCATTCAAGAAAATGGAGTTTCAGCCAGCGGAGGCAAAGAAGTTCTTCAGCACAGTGAGGAAGGAAATGGCTCTGCTAGCGACATCACTGCCGGACGGCATCATGGTGAAAACCTTTGAAGACCGCATGGTGGGTTTGCTGTTAGCTGTTAAAAAAACTCAGACACTGGCTATACTGGCAGCCTCTCTCCATCTCTTTTCACAAACTTGAATTTCTCATGCAGAGTTTTTCACAGAAATTGAAGATATACAGCCACAGACCAGAACCACAGAAATTATTTCTAAATGTAATTTTACAAGCTCAAAATTGTATTGACCTTTTTCTAAGCACATATGTTATCAAGTGTGAGTCTATTTCTTGGTCTTCAGAACAACAACAGCACCAGAGAGAAAGGACCAAAGAGAAGCAGTAGAATCCTCTATGTTTAACAAAGCAGCAGGGGTTTATGGGAAACAGAGTGTTAATATTTAAAAGCCCATTAGTAACTAGCTTAAGATAGAGGCTGAAAATAGAAGCTGCCAGTCCTCATCTCATTATTTTATTTGAGCTATGATGAGCTGCTGTATTCAATTACCTGATCATCTTCTCCGACAGTAACCTCAGCGCTTCACGTCCAGCAGTCTCTTTTACATTACAATGACTGCATCTATCAGAGCATGTGTCCTAAAGTTCTTTTACGTTCTGCGACACAGGACCTGTTCTCAGCTCTGATCAAAGGGCCGACTCGTACGCCGTACGAGGACGGCCTGTTCCTGTTTGACATCCAGCTGCCCAACATCTATCCAGCTGTGCCTCCTCTGTTCCGCTACCTGTCGCAGTGCAGCGGCCGCCTCAACCCCAACCTGTACGACAACGGCAAGGTGTGCGTCAGTCTGCTGGGCACCTGGATTGGCAAGGTGAGTGCCGTTTTACAGGTTTACGTATGCACGGCAACAACATCTTTTTAGCTTACTTTCAGAGACAAACACGACTACAGCATCCACAGGACAGAGCAAACAGATGGTGTGTATCGATCGTCAAGTTAGAGAACTCTGGTTTCTCTCTGATTTTCTCAAGAAGTAGAACCGATTTGTTTTCTTTTGTGCTGATATGATTCACAGGGTACTGAGAGATGGACCAGCAAGTCCAGTCTGCTGCAAGTCCTCATCTCCATACAAGGTACACACACACACACACACACACACACACACACACACACACACACACACACACACATCCCCCTACCTCTTCTCTGCAGCACAAAAATGTTTTATTAATGCGCATTTACTCAGATGGGTTCAGTGTCATTCAGCTTTGACCAGTCTGCCTCACACATAGACATTACACCACTTCCATAAAACATTTCTGCAATACGGCCTGGTCCCGGTTTTAGTTCGCTTTATTTTATTGGTCCAAATTTGTGTCATACTCAGAGTTGATGCTTGTAAAACTGTACAATGCAGTATTCACTGAGATGCATATTTCTTGCCAGATTTAGTTTGAAATGTAAAAGTTAAATTACTGACAGACAAACAGTTTTCACAATTGATATCTTGACTTTTGTCTTTGTATTTTGTTTGCGTTTTCTCAGGACCTCTGCTTTGAAACTTTGAACATTTACTAGCCTGCCTTTTATAATGACCAACATACGTGTGCATAAATTTTTCCGCAGGCCTTATCCTCGTCAATGAGCCTTACTATAACGAGGCTGGCTTCGACAGCGATCGAGGCCTACAGGAAGGATACGAGAACAGCCGCTGCTATAATGAGATGGCCCTGATCAAGATGGTCCAGTCTATGACTCAGCTCCTCCAGAATCCCGTGGAGGTCTTCAGACAGGAGATCCAGGAGCACTTTGTCTCTAACGGCTGGCGGCTCGTCCACCGCCTGGATGTGTGGCTCGAGCTGAACGATGCTGCTGAGCGGGGTCAGGCAGCGCACATGTCCTCCAGGGCTCAGCACTTGAAGGCTTCATCTGTGGAGCCTCTGGACGAGCAGCTGCCCCTGGGCTCTGGCAGCCCCAGTAAGCCTGGGGAGGAGGGGGTCACCGGAGCAGGAGTTACCAGTATTATGGAAGAGGAGCTGGAGGATTCAGGGCTGAGTCCCTCCACTACAGTGGACACTCAGCAGGAGCTGAGCCAGAATGCAGACTGCGACAGCACCCAGGGAAACGCTCCCACACTCCCTGGCTCTGTGGTCCGCGGCGGGACGTCAGAATCAGGTTCAGTCACAGTTAGCCAGCAGGTGGTGCGACCAAAGAAACGGAGAAAGAGCTACCGGAGTTTCCTCCCAGAGGGCAGCGGCTACCCGGACATCGGCTTTCCCCTCTTCCCGCTCTCTAAGGGGTTTGTGAAGAGCGTCCGAGGTGTACTGCTGCAGTACCGAGCTGCGCTAGCCGCCGCTGGCATCACTGAGCACTCAGAGGACAAGTAAGTGCCTCCTCACCGTTCCCCAACACACCTCTGTTCCCTGCTCCTTTACTCCTTCTCTTCTACCTTTTCATCTGCCCGATCACAAGCTGTAGAGGAGGATCCATTACCTGTTGTCTGTTGGGAGCAACAATTTCCAATCTTGTGTCCAGAGCTGTGCCCCCAGCATTGCCCACATTTCTTAGTATGTACTGCTCCTGCTGCCCCAAACCCCACATTGTTCTGCCCCCCCCCCCCCCCCCCCCCCCCCGGCCCCTCGCAACCCCCTCTCGATCAAACCACGACTGCAGGAGAGCAGCACCTTCTCATCAGGAGAGTGAGCGGGTTCTGGTTTGGATGCTACTTCATAATGTGTTTGTTCTCTCTCAGTGTCTCTGCCGATGAGTGCGATGAATAAAGAGGGGTGGACTTCACATACCACCGCAAACCTTTGGGAGCTACTGCGTCACACGGGAACCCTCATCTGTTAACGGACGCAGGTAAACACATAGAGCTTTTACTGGAGGCAGTCAAAGCTTCTTTTGGCCTCAGCAGGACTTTGACTTCAGTGAAGGGGGGGGCGTGGATGCGAAAAGGACTGTATGAGATGCTAAATCAGTGCAATTAACCCTCTCCCACCCTCCTCATCCACCTAGCCTCCAGCAGCATCGACCATATGGGTGGGGGGGATTTGCTGGGTAGCCATTCCACCGTCTCAATCAGCCTGTAAAGCAGACTCGTGACCAGCGCTAAATTTCAGACGAGGTCAAAGACGGCTGGAAAAACCGCAAGGCCCAAGCTCTCCTGGCTGCTGGGTCATCTGCGGCTATCTGTAGCACTACTGATATTATCGCTGTACCATCCTGCACTACAACAAACGAATGGACAATCTGGTCTGGGAGAGGTGACGCTGTAGGAATACCAGGAGGATTCTTTTGAAATAGAAATCACTGGTTGTATGCTTTCTGCCAAATTCTCTCTACACACACACACACACACACACACACACACACACACACACACACACACACACACAAATATTCAAGTAGAACATACTGAATGTCAGTAAAACTGCCAACCACATCAGCTTCGCCACTTCTTCCATTACATTTGCTGGTGTTTTCCTTCGCCAGTCGCTCGTTCCGAACCACGCAGCAAACGTCGAGTGACAAAGTTTACATACGAACCTCTGGTGGTCAGACTGCTGTAGCTGTTAGGTGTGTAGAGAAGGCAGCCAGGCACAGGACGACAGTCGAAGCTCAAGCTGTCGCCTCTACGTAAATGAAACTTGCGATTTGGTGTTTTGATGTATTTGAGGTTGTTTTGCTCGCCAGAGGCTGAATTATAGGTTTCAGAGTAAAGCTTTAGCCGCACTGCTTCACTTTTTCCGCGGCGGAGGTGAAACCACATCACTGCAAATGACACAATTTAAATAATAAATAAAAGTAGAAAAAAACGCACACAGCATCCATTCCGTCATCTCATGTCAACATGTTGCCTTACTTGAACTGTTCTTAATGATCTCAGACCATGGTGTACAGAGCTGCTTGTGTCATGCTTTAGACATTAACCTTACACAGACCTAGACACACACTTAAAAACCACTAAAACCATGTTCCAGTGTTTTCCTCTTTTTAAAAGTGCAGATCTCTGATCAGTTTCCTGCTTGAGTCTCTCACACTGCAGCCATCTCGCTGTATTCTGATTTGCCTCTCCAAATTGCATGTGCAGAGTTTAATTAAACATCAGAATACAAACTACAGTATTTGTGATGATGAAGGTTTGTTAATATTAGAATTAAATTGCTTGATTGTTATTATTTTCTATCATTATTTTTTCCCCCACTCGAGCGTCTTACCCCACGAAGGCGACTGCCGACCCCACTGATGCAGATTACAACACGCTGATATGACTGTTGTCCGTGATCATCTTTCTCCACACGGCATATATTGAATCTGGTTTTATTTACCAAGTTACCAACAAACAGAAACTGTGCTGTAATTAACTGTGAATGAAAGTGAAAATCACCTTTGGGTCCAATCGTGCTTCCTGGGGAAATCAGAGCAGTCTTTTGTTTACGTCCTTTTTAAATAACTGTCTCCCACCTCTTAACATAATGCTCTTTATTTCTTTCACGATATTGTAATTCTCATTGTAATAATAATAATTATAAAACTAAATGATATGGCTGTCTGGTATTTTACCTGAACAAAGAACCTTGATGCTGAAGAGTGTTTCTGAATGAGAGAGCACACTGTGCCATGATCAAGAAGGATCTTAAGAAATACTGAAAGATCTTTTGAGGATCGTCTGAGCCGATCCGAGGCCTCTGAGGAGCCGGTGGACAAGCGCAGGTCCATGAAGGACTACGGTTGCTACAGGCAACTGAAGAGCAGGCGCCACAAGCTCACAGGAGGAGTGGACGCTGAGGAGCTGGACAGCAATGTAGACGACTGGGAGGAGGAGACCATTGAGTTGTGTTTTTATCAACGAAGAAATCATTCCCCTTGGAGATCTGATTCTTGGCTCACGATTTCTATCGTGAGCCAAGAGTTGCTGCGTTTTTATAAAGACTTAAAAATAGAGGGGAATGAGGGTACATTGTTTTGCTTCGTCTTCCATTTTTTTTTTCCCTCCTGTGACTCTTAAAACTGGCATTCCTGTACCAGATGTGGCAATCAGGCGCCCGTGACATTTTGTCTTATTACTGGATTTTACTTCACCTTCAATATTCCGCTGCCTTTAATGCGGCAGGGGAGGATGTGTTGTCTTCTTCACTGGCTGCTGTAGCATTTAGCTTTATTTGCTTTCCTGTCTCCGTTTTCTTTTTCTGTTTTTGTTTCTGGCCTCCACATGTTGCTGCTGTTTGTGAAATGTCACCTTCACAATTCTTGGTCAGAGCTCAAGTCTGAAGGCATAAAAAGCATTGAGCCATGGGTACAGAGTTGTGGAAAAGGTCACACACACTTAAAACATAGCTTCGCCGAAGAGTTGAGAGGTGATATTGTTGCACCATCTTCCTCATTTGTCGACAGTCGCTGAAACAGAAAATGTGAAGCTATCTCGCTAGATCACAAAGCAAAAAATCTGGCAGGGTATCAAGCACTTGATGTGCAATTTTCTGTGTGCATATTATTCAGATTCAAACCATTATTATTATTATTATTACTGCGAGATGTTTGTTTTACAGCCAAAGCATGTAACATGTTGCTTTAAGCCTTTTTGAATGGGCTACACACAAGACTTGACTGTACGATGTCTACATTTCCACAGTGGCCTGTTGTTGATATATTTAAAAAAAAATAATAAATAAACTAATAAAGTTATGATTTGTAGCCTGATTCCCTCTGTACAGATGTCATGACTATATTGAAATATATAAATACATACAGAATATATTTAACACACAAACCTGAGTTCTAATGTCACGTGGATGCTTGGGGCATATATGTACAAAATGCTGAGTGTGTGTTGTACTTAAGATTAAAATTTTTATTGGTTTACTTTTGTTGCGTTAAGACGACTGTATAGTGATGTATTAAACTTTGCAAGCAGTACCGTAGTAACATTGTGGATTTTATTTATTTGAAGCTGTTGTATCGACTGCAGCTTTTCATCAGTGTGATGTTACAGGATAAGCCTGGTGGTGAGCTCTGTATTCTTATTAATATTAACAAATCGCATGAAAACCAACAATAATTTGATAAGTACTTCCTGTCAGCTAAAACCTGCTAGTCCTGTGCCACGGAGCTCCATTGTTGTCCAAAAACTATTAAAATCACATCAATGAGCCTCAATGTTCCTTCATTACCATGGACACTAGTTTATTTTGACTCAGTCCACGTTATAATTATAACCTTCATTTACCAGGAAAAGTCTTTGAGATTAAAAATCTCTTTTGCAAGAGCATCCAAGACATACAGCAGCACAGTTAAGACATGAAAACAACAATTTACAATGAAAATAAATAATACACATCGTGCTGGTGTAAATATTCACTAGAGCACCAAATGTATAACATTTGCCCAAAACTACAGTACCCAGCTGTGTTAGGAAACACTGAGTCTGTATATTTGTGAGCTGCTGCTGAAGATTTACATCTTCCAACCAATGGGCTTGAGGAACAAACTAACCCTTTTTTGGTTTTGGTCTTTTCATGGGATGTGGATGAAAAATACAGAACAACGCCCGCCTTAAAACATAAAGTGTGGCCATTCATTTGGATTTCTGTAATTTAACCTAACTATGTCTGATAGTATCCTTATGGATGGCAGAGAACTCAATAAAAAGTCTGCCCTGCAGAGTCTTGATCTGAAATTTATGTTACGTATTTTATTCTGCCATATTATGGTTGGATATGGCACAGTAAACCTACATTCAAATTAGGAAAACAGTTTGTTTCCTGTAATAGCATGCTGTAGTATTTTATATAATTTCTATTCAGAAGAGTGTCTGTGTAGATCTGTTGTGCCAGATATGAGAGCGTCAAGAAAGTACTCTGGTGCAGTTTTAAACTGAACAGCTGCACCTTAGAATTCAAGTAAACCTGCAAAATGCTCACAGAAGATGTACATGGACCCATAGTCATGATCCATACATGACTGCTTTATATATATAAAAATATTTTACTGTGTTTATGCAGAAAGGTTATTGTATGACTATCATCTCTGCTCTTTAGGCCAGCTGCAGGATAAAACAGGATAATGGATTCAATGAAGAAAAAAACTGTATTCTGGTTAAAGCTTCAAAAGGTTTATTGACTTTTAGCCCACTGAATCTGTTAACCTGCATGTGGTCTAAATATAACAGGTTTGTGACTCCTATTGTGTTAAATATGATACTATTTCTTCATACACTCCTGGATCTCGCATGACGGAGGAGAACCCCCTCCTGTGAGCCAAAATACTAGACTTCTGAGAATTCAGTGGGGAACCAAGGTTTCATAAACCAAATCACAGGTCGTTTGTCATCATTTATTAAAACATTTCAATCAAAAACACTCCAGCAGAATGTTTGATTTTATAATAGAAAAATTACAGACATTTGTCTAATGGAAAAATAGATCTCTGTGAACAAAGAATCAATCATCGGTGTGCCAGAAAAAATAAAAACAATTATTTCCCCTTCACCATAAACATTTAAAACAAACAAGACAACGGTTCAGAAGCAGCAGGTAAAGACAAACACCAAAGCAACAGTCTTATCTATTTTCGGGCTGCTGACAGAAGAATGTACATCAGCTCCTTTGTCTCAAACTCGATTGGTCTGATTGAACTTGTTTGGATTTTGCATCACACCGACCAATTTCTTCTCCTAGAAATGATCTGCCCAGTAGTAACAGATGAAGTGTCCGCACCACGGCGTCAGCATTAGCAGTTTAAATGTATGCAGGTTCACAAAACAGCACTGAGCCACTACACTCTGGGAAGAAGTATTTTTGTGACATATAGACAGATACTTTCTTCTGACTGAATGTTCAGTTTGTCCAGTATGTTCATTACTACGATCACAGCAGGGTTTTTTGTTTTGTTTTGTTTGTTTTGTTGAGAAAACAAATGAGTTGATTTTCAAATTCAGCCAGTTTAGCAAATGATAAATCAGTGAATGCACCACTGTGTTTAAACCACCAGGAGGCAGCACTATCAAGGCACATCAAACATGTAAAAGGACCACCGCATCACGCACAACAAATCAGACTTTGCATAGGGGGAAATAAAAATGCATGAAAGTGATCTTGGAAGCCTTGCTTGGAACATATTTAGAATGGATACTCTTACATCTTAAGGCCCATAAAACCTCTCAAATTAAACAGTCTCAACAGGTAAAATTTTCTCTTTGGTTGAACTGAGGGGGTCACAAGTACAACGAGCCAAAGGGGAATTTGGGGAAACACCATGTTGGATGGACAGTGTGTCCACTTTTAACAGTCATTAACTCCTCCAGTGCCTGGCCTCATGGTGCTACTGACCAAATTTGTCCCCAAAAACGACAGCAAAGGAAAAGTGGAACAAGCATGTCTTCAAGTAATGTCTCCATCTTATGTGCTTGTAACTCGTCAGCTAAATTCCTTTATGAGTAAGCATTATTTCAACCAACTACATCAGAAATTAAATGACAGCAAACAGACCTCAACATCCCTCAAAGGCTTCAAAACAGAATTGCCAACAAACATGCATTGTGCAAAAACACGCATAAAAGAATATCTTGAGGAGAAATAAATGTTGGCCTTTCACAAGTCAACTCTTTAGTGTCAAACACGGTGATTAAAACACAAAACATTAAAATCTTGTGGCTTCATGGTTTCATTATGACTGGATACCGCTGTCATCCCCCCTGCTTGCTGCAATTTCCTAATTTTACAGTCACTGTGTGTGTTTTCACCTCGAGGTGAAATAAACTGAAAGGCATCCTTCTCTCTCTCTCTCTTTCTCTCTCTCTGCTAATGTTCCCAAATGATTACTTGTGGTGTGGAGGAAGAATAAGGGCGCCCTGTCAGGAACACAACGCTGCCTACCTCATGCAGCATTTAACAAGTCGATATCTCCCTCCTCCTCCTCCTCCCTCCCCTCTCCCTGTACTCACTATATGCACCAATGTGCTGTTTTAACCAGCTTCCCCCAAAACCCTTGTATAAAGGCATGACTACATTTCACTTTGACACAGACAACAACATATTTAAAAATCTTACTTTCCCACTCAGAGAAGGCCAGAAGCCTCCATTATCATTTCCTCTGTGTGACTTATATCTCAGTGTTAAGGACACCTAGGTGATGATCATTAATAAATCTCCCCATAGGGACAGCCTGGTTTTGTGTGTGTGTGTGTGTGTGTGTGTGTGTGTGTGTGTGTGTGTGTGTGTGTGTGTGTGTGTGTGTGTGTGTGTGTGTCTGAAGAGCAGCTGTGGCCGGAGACACACAGGTCTGGGACCGTTGCGTACTGCAAAGTGGATGGATGGATGGATGAAAGCACAGGACAAAGACGAGTGGTATGTTGGGATGGAGGATGAAGCCGTGGAGGCACTTAAACACATCAATCAGCCGTCAAGGACCAGAGCTGTGGAAGCCACTGGACACGTTTACACCACTATCAGCAGTCTGTGACGTTCAGCACGGTGTTTTTAGCTGAGTTCGGTGCGGGTTTTTGCGGTGGGGGCGGGGGGGGGAGCACAACTTTCCAGCCTTGTCAGCATCTATTTCAGTTGGTGCTTTCTTAACTCACTGCCTGTAAACTCATTTGTGATTTAGTCAGTTATTCAGTTAGTCAGTGGGACAAATCTGCACCAAACAATTACATGGTCCTTGTGATAATACACTGTGCAATGGATCAGTGGATTAAAGAGTTCACACAAATTATAAAAAACACATTATTTTCTCCTTTACCTCCAATGGTCTCTCTGTGAACAGTTTTCACTGGAACTACTTTCTACAGAAGAAATAGTTAATAGATAATTAAAAATACTTTAATTAAAATATTGTAAATGTATTTTCTGAACTGTTTTTTTGTTAGTTATCATTTAAGATCTTTTGCAAATAAAAAAAAAATTGGTGACAAAACAAATCAATGTAAATGTCAGAGATTTGTGAGAATAATGTTTTTGTAATTTGGGTGAACTGACCCAGCTGAAGTGTAGGGCCCCCACAAAGTTACAGTATCTCACAAAAGTGAGTACACCCCTCAAGTAGTTGTAAATATTTTATTATATCTTTTCATGTGACAACACTGAGGAAATGACGCTTTGCTACAATGTAACATAGTGAGTGTACAGCTTGTATAACAGTGTAAATTTGCTGTCTCCTCAAAATAACACATCACACAGCCATTAATGTCTAAACCGCTGGCAACAAAAGTGAAAATGTCCAAATTGGGCCCAATTAGCCATTGTCCCTCCACGCTGTCATGTGACTCGTTAGTGTTACAAGGTCTCAGGTGTGAATGGGGAGCAAGTGTGTTAAATTTGGTGTTATTGCTCTCATACTGGTCACTGGAAGTTCAACATGGCACCTCATGGCAAAGAACTCTCTGAGGTCACCATGTCCTGTGGTCTGATGAGACCAAGATAAACTTATTTGGTTCAGATGGTGTCGAGCGTGTGTGGAGGCAACCAGGTGAGGAGTACAAAGACAACTGTTTCTTGCCTACAGTCATGCATGGTGGTGGAAGTGTCATGGTCTGGGGCTGCATGAGAGCTGCTGGCACTGGGGAGCTACAGTTTATTGAGGGAACCATGAATGCCAACATGTACAGTGACAAACTGAAGCAGAGCATGATTTGGACATTTTTCACTTAGTGGTGTTCTCACTTTTGTTACCAGCGGTTTAGACATTAATGGCTGTGTGAGTGGACAGAATTTAGTTATTCAAGCTGTAAACTCACTACTTTACACTGAAGCACAGTGTCACTACTTCAGTGTTGTCGCATGAAAAGATATGATCAAATATTACAAAAATGTGAGGCCTGTACTCACTTTTGTGAGATACTGTATGTTTACATTCAGAGATTCTCACCAAAATGCATCATGTGAATCCTTGAGTTCTAAAGAATTTCTTCCCTCATTAAACATTTGGAAAGCCAAAGCATTTTTGAATCCAGCATTCTTTACATCCATGTTTACCAGCTTGCAGCAAAATTCCTCACTGCCTTTGCTGGCGCACTGCAGCTTATGGTGTTTTACCACCCCATGTTCAGTGGAATAGTGTGTCCTCGTGCACAAAATAAATAAAACGGCTCCATAATGCAACTAGAGCTCTAAACTCTACAGGAAACCTTTTAAAGCAAGTTTTTCTTTTAACAGAATAATCACAGATGTCACTCTGTTTACATTTGTTCCACTGCTGCTGTCTTTGTAGCACCCTTGAGACTTAAATATGACTACTTTTACCAGTGCCTTTAATCTAATCATATTTAAGGCTGTAGATTCAAAACTTACACTACACTGAAAATTTTACTGTCCTGTTTTATCACTTTTTTTTCTATCTAAATTTCAAACTCAACTAAAAATTGTATTTTAATGTCTTTTTTTTTTTTTATATTTCCCTGGTTTTGTTAATTAATTACCTTGTTGAAATGTGCTATACAAATAAACTTGCCTTGCCTTACTTCTCTAAGAACTAAATAATAAAATCTTATTAAAAAATAGAAGACATAAGAACTGATTTGACGGACATGAATCTGTTCTCAGGTGAAATTAAGGTAGCGTGGTTGGCTTGGGAAACCAGAATGGAGCTGGCAAGTCTTTAAGGCAATCGAACCTTTCTGAATCTGGGACTCTGGTGCTCAGAGTGAAACAACACGGCACACCAAATATTTACAGCCTCTGATCAGAAACCAGGCGTGCAAAGAAAGCTGTGGGACCATCACAGATAGACTTAATATGAGAAAATAAATGTCAGATGAAATATTAAGATGTTTTTCCTGCAATGTGCTTCCTTGGGATTTGTTTGACTTCTACAGGAGCACAAGCCGGAGGCACACCTACCCTCACATCACTCAGCAGTGTTATATGTTGTAGTAGACCAGATGCCACCCGCTGACCCATCAAGGATTCAAGTTAGACTTTTGGCCTTTTGGAGTGTTTGAGGCTCTCTATGTTCAACAGTCGCAAAGCCCGATGACCTCTGTTAAAACGAGAACAACATCCCTGCTGCATCACTCACACACACACACACACAGTCTCCAACGTACTGCAGAGGCATAAATCCAACCCTCTGCTGTTGCATACAATGCTGTAATTCAGGTTGATGTGTCGACTTCAGCACAGAGAAGATAAGAGATACTGCCGGCTAAAGATGTAGACGGATTCACTTTACATAGAGGCTCAACGCGTCATCATGTGTATCTGGTCTGTAAATTATCTACATGAAGCTCAGTCACGGCTATGGAGACCCAAAGTGTTCGCTACTAATAAATAAATAGATAAATAAATTAAATGGTATATTACAGCCTTCATTATTGTGACTTTTCTATCCTGTTTCAGTTCATTGCAGGTCAGTTTTTACTTTATTCCAGCAGTTCTTTTCCCCCAATTTTTATCTCAGATTTTATTTTTAATTTTGTGTGCACAATTTAAGAATAAACAAATATATCAGGACTTGGAGGGTGATTTGTAAGAAAGTATTTGTCTCTCAGTGAAGACAAACAGACCCCAGTGTTATTGGCCAATCATATAGCTGACTGTGCCGTCTGTCTTGATTAACTGATAAAGACTCTGAAAATAATGTGTGTTGGAAAAAGGACAGTTTGAAAAAAAATACCAGCCGTAAACGCTCTTATTATGAAAATATGTTGGATTAAACATTTCATAATAAGTTAAGATGAAAAACTGATTTAGGTTATTTTTATAAGTTAACAGTTATATATTGTACTGGCATTTATTAATATGATTCTTCATTCATAATGTCTTATTTTCTTTGATATTGATACTATTGATAACACTTTGGCCCTCCACACATAGCACGTGTTTGTATATAAACTGACCAACATCACATTACTTTCGTCTAAATCGTGTGGTCTCTATGTATAGTTGAGAGTCTAACTTTGCAGCTAACCCATGAATCAGTCTTACATCCATTGCTTTGCTACTGTGTCTCTGTGCTTCGGAACATTTCTGGTTTAAATTGTGAAAATGTTTTTATTGGGCCTTAACAGCAGAGATGTTTGCTCAGTTCATCCAGTGATTAATCTCGCCAGGCCTCTGTGTGTCTCCGCTTGCAACGGCCCATATTCCACCACTTCTCCGTCGACGGTGATTATCCCTTTAGGTGAATAAGGCTGCAGCCTGAGTGCCCGCACTTTAGTGTACACCAGATGTTGACAGTTAGTAGCCAGATGTGCGCCCTTCTCCATAGCTAGGAACAGCCTCAGCAGCGCAGCGCGTGATATTCCCGCCCTAACGTAGAGAAGATGGATGAGGCCATCGTCCAATGTGGCGTCTGGTGCCGCCAGCAGGTCCTCCGCCAGGTGGGACTGGTACATGGCCAGCACCAGGACAAAGTCTTCCTCCTGCACCACCACCCAGTTGTCGGGCAGCGGCTGGTCCAGAGGCAGCAGCAGTGAGTCAGGCGGGCCGGTGAGGGATTTGGTGGCGCTCCGAGAAGGCGCACTCTCTGTCGTCCTCCCTTTGAGGGAGTTGTTGGAGTGGCAGGAGTTGTGAAAGGTGTTCTGGCAGGGAGAGTCTCTGGACGGGTGACCCAGCAGGGGGGCTGGACCCAGGGAGGAGGCCTGATTATTGCAGTGCGGTGTCATGTTATTTCTCAAACCCCCGTCGTTGTTGTGGCCCTCTGTGGCGGGCAGGTAGGCCAGCTTGCCCCTGTAGACACGGAGACAAGCCAGCCTCACCAGTGTGCCAATGGTGAACCGAGCAGCGCCGACGTGGCGATACTTCTCGCTCTCTATGTCCACGTCCGCTACAAAGCCCCAGGCCAGCGAGAGGAAGGAGAAGAGACGAGGGCTGGAGGAGAGATGGATGGAGACCAGGTCCATACGGGACACGAGCCCTTTGCAGAGAAGGAAACCACAGCTGACCAGGAGCTCCTCACTGCACACCGGCGAGGCTCTAGAGGAGGGAAACCAGAGGAGCAAAGGAGGACAGTCATATTCTGTAAACATATTTTGCTGCCTACAGGGGCTCATATGAATTACATGTGAAAGACGTTCGAATCAACCTTAATTTCAGTAATTCAAAACGTGTTTTATCAAGAACACAATTGTTTTAAATTGTCATGGTTCCCTATTTCATGACTTTCAGGTGCTACTGTTCATGTTAATTGTGTGTCTTTATGTGTTAACTACTCAGGTCTGTCTTAGGAAGATAATGAATTTCGATTTAATTATTTCAAAGTTACACCCGTCCTCTAGAAGGAGACAAAATCTAGCTTCAAAAATAAGACTCAGACACCAAAATAAAACAGAGGGATGGTGCACTTAATATTTTTGGAAGTGGGTCGAGGCTGGTGTGTGTTTTAGGAGGGTGAGCTGTAAGAGGAGCATTATATAATACTGGGGTAACAGTGAGCTTATTGTGAGATGGTAAAAATCAGAGAGGAGGTAGATGCGGAGGGTGGAGGCACATGGAGCTATGAAGGGAGGGGGTGGGGATGGGGGGAGGTTCACTAAATCAGGAGGCTCAGGGACAAATCTTGGAGGGGGGACAGAATCAGCGTATGTGCCCTCAGACACGACAAGCCAGTCAGACAACAAAGACAACCCCATCTGGGAGAATGGAGACCGGGGTGGAAGGTCATGATAACACCCCTCACAACCACACACACACACACACACACACACACACACACACACACACACACACACACACACACACACACACACACACGCCTGCTGTTACCACCCACAGACAATTACAGTGACGACTGGACGTCTCAGTGGAGTTCACTGGCAGTGGCACTGCAGATATCTCCATATTCATCATCCTGAATTTATTCACCGGCCTCAATCTAAATAGTTTCATCTATATTTCCACGGCTCTATTTCTTTTCTCATCATTGTCTGGTAAAAAGGTCAACTAATAAAAAGATAGTCCAACTCACCCGCTGCACCTTAGAATCATGGTGGAAAGTAACAAGTACATTTACTCAGCTACGATGTTGATGTACATGTGCTTTAAACGAGCATTTTAATTTTATGCTATTTTATGCTTCTGCTATATTTCAGAAAGAAATATTGCAGTTTTTAATCCACTATTTGACAGCTGTAGATACTTTTCAGATCAAGATTTACATAAACAAGACAAGGGGCCTTACACCCAGCACAAAGCACGGGACAAGTATTTTCCAAGCGACGCTGTGGTCATTTTCTCGCTCCCAGATTATGTGCCGTTTACTGTGTGTGAAAGTGAAGTTGGACACGCCCTAAATGCACTTTAGACCATGCGTGATAAATCATTTAAATACGGCCCTAAGAGTCTACAACCATGCCAGAAGCTCTGTGAGGTTGTACACTGTGGTGCTAACATGCTCACAAGGACGATGCTAACGTCCTGATGTTTAGCAGGTGTATTGTTTATGGTAATGTTGGATGTTTGTTTGAGATATGTCACTCTGAACCACGAATGTCAACGTCATGGTGGGGAGTGAGGGAAAAGTCGGGGGATCAGTAGTTGCTGAGATCTTTCAGTCTGGATCAAAGTGGTGGACCGACACACTGACCAACATCTCTAACCCTAAAACCAAAGAGTTATTTTGTCTCTTAACTTCTCAGATTATACATTAATACAAATTTATGTTGCCTAGCTTTTGTCTTTTGTTTTGTCCTCTTTACTACCACTTTACTTCTCCCACAACCCCTCACATTTATGTTGTGACCCTTTGGAGGGAGCCTGACCCTTAGGTTGGGAATTACTGGACTAAACTACCTTACAGTAAATAAAGTAGTTTGGACTTGCTCCACTTCAACCAGCTACAACAGAAAAATGGCACATAAAACAATGTATCAGTCAGTCACAGGGCACCCTTCTGCTTAATGAGTACTTTTGATACTTCCTTATAGTACTTGATAGTAAAATTGGCTTTCAATACTTATAAGTATATAAGTAAATAATTATCAATAATAGAGACACCTCTCAGTATAACACAATACAGTTCAACAGCAGCACAAACTACATTCTGCAAAATGATCATACAGCTCGCTAAAACAAAATCATTATAACCCTCAGGATTTATTGCAGGCCTGTTGTATTAGACTGCATTAGTTTTAGCTACTGCAGATGTACCTAATAAACTTGCAACTGAGTTTTTTAAGCTGTTTATGCAGTATCTGTAACCCGCCAGGGGAGGGAGACTCCCACTCACATCAATGTGTCACACCTGTCACTTCAGAAACCCTAAGCCTCGCAGATGACGTTTCTGCTTGTGCTCATTATGTTTGTGTACAGAAACACATTAAACCCTCACTCAGCGAACCTGTTCACTGCATTGCATAATACCAGATACATTCTAGCCGTCACTCATTTGATCCACGTAGCCTCAGTGAACCCTACATTCAGCTGGGAATAATACCGAATACACTCTGAGCCAGGGCCACTGCAGGACAGCCTGCAGCAACCAAAGAGAGAGAGATTTTCTGGATGCCCCGGGAGTGTGAGAGGAGAGTAAACAATACAGAGTCTGGTCCCTTCCTCTCATTGTTGCTGCCTCTCTGGCTGGAAGACCATTGTTGGATGCTGATTGGCAGATGCAGTAGAAGTGATGAATGAATGTGGCTCTTTGGTGAAGACAGAACCATCAGCATAAGATGTTTTGTTTAGTCTCATTTTAATGTGACTTTATTTATTTTAGTCAGAAATCCCACTGCAGCAAAAAGGCTTTTAAAGGGTGCTAGACAAAAAGCAAAAAAGCAACAACAAAACACACTGAGACACAAAATGACAGATTACAGAAAGTAAAAGGGCAAAAGCTTCACGTGACCTAGAAACAGGAGGAGCAGCTTAAAGAGTAAAGAGCCTCAAAGCACTTCATGAGGTTTTTAAATTTCCCACGTGACTTAAGAGTAAAAAGGGCAGAGTAACACAAACAGCAGTCCAAGAAGCATTGTCTTCATGAAACTACACCAACCAGCTACACTATGGGAGGAGAGAATGTGCAGTGAAATAACAACTCACTTCCATGACTTGGCACAGACCTGGGAGCTGTCAGAGGGCTCACAGCTGAAATAAAGGTAAAACGTAGGGACATTATAAAACACGGTACACCTTTTATCTCCCCACTTTTGTTGGGTTTTTTTCTGGCATAGCTCTATAGATGGCAATGTTGTCTATTGATTGATTGACTGTTCTATCGGTCGACCATTTTAAAGGGTATTTCTTACAAAAAAATGTTTACATTTATAGACCAAATGAATAATCAATTAATTGAGAAATAATTGGCAGATTAATCATAGTCTGGACCATTTGGGAATGGACTTTACAAACATTCATGTACACAACTGATGAATCCCAATGACTTTTTTGATCCCTTACTTTTCCTTTAGCACCATCAGGTCAACATATCAGTTTGTCTTTAGTTCATGTTGACCTGCAAAACTAAACAGCTGTACTTTGTGTTTAGTGCTAATTAGCAAGTGTTAGCATGCTAACACGCTAAACTAAGCTGGTGAACATGCTAAACATCAGCTTGTCAACATTGTCATTTTGAGCACTGTGCAGTGCTGACGTTGTTATTTAGCTAAAAGCACCGCTGTGCCTAAGTGCAGCGCCACAGAGCTGCTCGCGTGGCTGTAGTCTGATTGTGTCTTCATACTCAACACAAAGCAAGTTTTAGAGGCAGCGCAATTTTTTCTCTCATTCCGCTTCTCCTTTTGTTCTTAGTTCTGGTTGAACAAATGAGAGGCAATCACTCAAATGAGCAAATCCTTAATAATTAATAGATAGGATGAGTGCAAGTAGAGCACCAGACGGCAGGACCATGTGTCTCATAGACTCAGTTATACAAAGGATATTAAATCTACACTTTAAAAAACACTACGTCTGATTTGTTTAATCGTTACATCTTCAGCCAGTAGTTGTGTCTGGAGCAGAACACAGCGTTATATACAGTTAAAATACTGTGCACCATCGGTACACTGAAGGACACCAGACTCAAAGGGGATTAAGGCCCATTACATGCAGCATGTCCTTGTCTGCCAAGCTTCAACTATATACAGCAATAATATCTGGCCCGCGGTCAGATTGCTTTGATAGCATAAAAAATAAATAAATAAATAAATAAAAATTGATAGCGGCTGGTGCTGAAATAGATCTCAGTCATGACAGCTACAGTTACTCACACAATCACTTCCTCTTAAGTGATTGTGCCTCCAAATTAAAAGCGCAAAAATGTTTTTTGCAGCAATGCTTTATGTCAAGTTTATTGAGAGCTTTTATTTTGAAAAGTTTTGAAGGACATTCAGAAGTCTCTGGCTTGCTTGACACACCTCTGAAAGAAGCCGTCAGTAAACGTGGATTGGATTCCCCTGAGAGTCAGGGAAATAAAAATAAGCGTCCGTAGGTATTTTAATACAGATCAAACGCCGGGACGCATACACACACTGCAGCACATGCTTTATTGTGAGCATGTGCTGCAGTGTTCTTATAATCAATTTGTGTAACAAGGGAGAAAAAAATCCGCAGAATGTTCATTCAACCCTCCCAACGGGAGTCACACACACTACCAACTGAGCTAAAAGTGCACACAAGTAGCCTATACAAGGATTTGAAATAATTTGACGATGTTCTGGCCCGCCGTGTAATGGCTTGAAAAAAATCTGGCCCGATGCCAGACTTATTTGCAGACCCCTGGTCTATAATGTAATAATTTGGTTGGATCAGTTTGAGCCTATGTGGCTTCCTTGCCTCAATAAAATAATTTCACAGCTCAAACCCTCAGCCTGTCCCACAGACATTGTCCCCCCTTCGCCTTTTTAATGAGGTCTGGACCACTATAGGGCCAAGTGTCCAAAAAATTATTAACAGTAGTCTGGCTTCAGGAACTGTCCCAGCTTATTGCAAAGAAGCAACTGTTGTACCTCTAATTGAAAAGCAAAATTTGGACACTATAATTTTAAGCTAACTACAGACTACAGACTGATATCAAAGCTTCCTTTTATTTCTAAAATCTTGGAAAAAACTGTATTTGCACAATTAAAATCCTTTTTAGATATAAATGGTATTTTCGAATTTGTTCATTCTGGTTTTAAAGCTTTTCATAGTACCGAGACTGCACTTTTAAGAGTTTTTAATGATCTTTTACTAACTACAGACCGTGGTGACTCTGGCTATTCTTGTGCTTTTAGACCTTACTGCTGCTTTTGACAGAATTAATCACGCCATTCTCATCTCTCGCCTAGAGCACTGTGTAGACATCCGAGAAGTTGCCCTTAAACCTGTTTTATCTTTTGATCTTCTTGAGCATGTGATTCATGCCTTTATCTCGACCCGTTTGGATTACTGTAATGCACTTTACATCGGCGTGAACCAAACTTCCCTTTCACGCCTACAGTTAGTCCAAAATGCAGCTGCTCTTCTTTTAACAGGAACCTGGAAAACACAAACACATTACCCCCATTCTGGCCTCGCTCCACAGGCTCCCTGTACATTTTAGAATACATTTTAAAATTTTAATATTTGTTTTTAATGGGTTGGCACCTCAATACATCTCTGAGCTCCTGCACACTTACACCCCGTCAAGGCTACTGAGGTCTGCTGATCAGCTGCGGCTGAACATTCCCAGGACTGGGCTGAAGACCAGGGGCGACCGCTCTTTTTCAGCAGTTGCCCCCAAACTGTTGAATGACTTACCTCCACAAATTAAAGTGGCGCCCACCCTCCATACCTTTAAATCTTGTTTAAAAACATATTTTTATTCCCTGTCTTTTAATTCACCATGAGAGGTGCTATGGTCTTCGTTGTCGTTGTCATTGTTGATGTTATCTGTTTTGTTTTCCATTATCATAAACATAGTTTATTTTATCTCTGTAAAGCACTTCGGTAACCTTGTTGTTTTTTAAATTGTGCTATAAATAAAGTGGATTGGATATAAATGTAAAAAAGACCAGGGTGATGTCTTTTTTTACTTGGCCAACACTCCTAAAAAGATATTTAGGTTTACTATCATGTAAGAGAAAAATAATCCTCACATTTAGGAAGCTGGATCTGGTAAATGTTTCCTCTACTACAGAAAATTATTTTTCACATTCCTCAGCCAGAGAATTGATTATGTGACCCACAAACAGTAGTATTGTACTATAACTATACTACTGTATCATAGCTCCACGCACAGTGTCTGGCAGATAAACACAGAGTGCTGCTGATTGGTTTTATTTAGGATTCTGCATGTGGCTCACCCAGAGTAGTTATGGATGGATGCAGCCAAGGCGTTGCCTGATCCACCAGGAAGAATACCCAATGGGGTCCGAATGGCCTCCTCCCAGTCTGGTCTCTCCAACAGACCATTTATCACCTGCCAGACAATAAAAATAATAATTTGATTAGGTGGACAGATATAAAGACATATTAACTTGTCAGTGTTTTCTAGCAGTAACTGAAGAAATGGATTCTTCGGTGCCAGTCTGATTTTAAAAGCTACTAAATTCTCCTCCACCTCCACCACCCACAAACTTCTCTGCTGATACCTTTGCTGCCTTCTTCACAGGCAAAGTGGTGGCTATAACTAGCCAATTCTCTAAATCACTCGAAATCAACCATTCTATTCCCTTCCCGGTCAGCTTCCACTGTGTGAACACAGCACAGGAAAACCTACCATGTAGCAGCCCTTATACATGTCTCCCTCGGGAAATGGCGCAAAATGCTCAACACCAAGGCTAACATGTAGCAGTCCTACTACATCCGTTCCTCTGTCCTCCCAGGACAATGGCACTTCACTATCCTCGTTTACTCCTCCCCCGGAGAACAAAGTATCAGAACTCCTGACTCATAGCCGTCCCACTACATGCCCACTGGACCCGATTCCTACGAATCTCCTCCAAGCCATATCTCCTACTGTGGTCCTGGCAATCACTCACGTGATAAATACTTCTCTGGCTTCAGGAACCTTCCAACCACCTTTAAAAGGGCTCGGGTTACACCCTTGCTTAAAAACCCCCCACTCGACCCAACTCAAGTTGAGAACTACTGGCCAGTTTCTCTTCTACCATTTTTATCCAAAACTATCGAACGGGCAGTCTTTAAACAGGTCTCAGAATTCCTCTCACGGAACGACCTCCTGCATCCATATCAGTCCTATCAGGTTTTAAGAGTGGCCACTCTACTTAAACGGCTCTTTTGTCTGTAACAGAAGCCCTAAGGTCTGCTAAAGCTGCAGCCCAATCCTCGGTTCTTATCCTGCTTGACCTATCAGCTGCCTTTGACACAGTCAATCACAGGATCCTGCTATCCGCACTCTCAGCAATGGGCATCTCGACTAAAGCACTCCTGTAGTTCGAATCCTACCTTTCAGGGCATTTGTACAATGTTTTGTGGCAAGGACTATTATCCTCCTCCCATTGTCTCTCCACAGGGATACCCCAAAGCTCAGTGCTAGGGCCCCTTCTCTTCTCAATTTACACCACCTCACTGGGGTCTATCATTCGCTCCCACGGCTTCTCTTACCACTGCTACGCAGACAATACGCAACTCTACCTATCCTTCCCGCCAGGCGATCCCACCGTCTCGGCGCGGATCACAGACTGTCTCTCGGACATATCTGCATGGATGAAGGCTTGCCACCTTCAACTAAACCTCTCTAAGACTGAACTCTTGGTCATTCCAGCCAAGCAATCTATTCACCATAACATCAAACTACAAATCGACTCATCAACCATCACTCCAACCAGGGTGGTGAGAAACTTGGGTGTCATGATTGATGACCAGCTGTCCTTTTCAAGTCATGTTGCTGCCGTCTCTCGGTCGTCCCACTTTGCTCTATACCAATTCAAGAAAAATCAGGCCCCACCTCACTCAGTATTCCCCCCAGCTTCTGGTACAGTCCATGGTTATCTCTCGCCTCGACTATTGCAATGTCCTCCTAGGAGGTCTTCCAGCTTGTGCAGTGAAACCCTTATAAATGCAGCGTTGGTTTTTGATCAGCCCAAAAGGGCGCATGTCACTCCATTACTCAGTGACCTCCACTGGCTCCCCGTACAGAGTGACTTCTGGGTCAGCAGTCATCTACCTAAATACATAATACAAGTTTACCTTCCTTCTCGGCCACTACGCTCTTCCAACGAACACCGTCTGGCTCTGCCATCCCTTCACACAAAGCAATCCCAGTCCCGGCTGTTCTCAGCTGTGACACCACAATGGTGGAACAAGCTTCCACACGCCATCAGAGCAGGGGCATCCCTTTCTAACTTCAAGAAGCTCTTGAAAACTCATCTCTTCCTCTTATAACACCTCTAACTCCTAACCTCTAACATGCACTTCCTGTTCTCTTCTTCTTCTATCCCCTTACAATTATCTTGTATTGATCGCACAATTACTTCTTTCCCTAGGTATTTACCCCATTGATGCGATATGTGCCATTAGCGCTTACTAGTTTTGATTGCTGCTTTTACTAATATGTATTTTCAGTTGTAGATCTCATACTGTATTTGATGCTCTGTTGATGTATGTATGTTGTTCCTCACATGTAAGTCGCTTTGGATAAAAGCGTCTGCCAAATGAGTAAATGTAAATGTAAATTCCCAGAAATGACTGACTAAAATGCGTCAGGGTAAGTTGGCAAACTTCTTGGTCTTGTTTATCGGATATTTACAGATTTAATTTATATTTTTGACAATTTTAGACTGTCTTTATTTAGACAAACTTCTCATACCGCTGCTTGTGTTAAACCTTTGGAAAATATAAACAAGATTTTCTACAAAACCTTATTTAACAAAATAAGCCACACTTAAATAACAGTACTGAAAAAGAGATTGAATAAAGTGTTTCTTTCTTAAGGTCTTTAGTAATGTAATATTTTCACTTACTGTATATTTCACACTCATAAACAGACACATGTAAGACAAAGTTGCATTAAAAATAAATTTCCCCCAACAGTTGGGTCAAAGACAACTAGTTGACAAAAATCATCTACTACTTTGCAACCTGGTGAGAAGTAAGTCAAAATACAAAATAGTACATATACAGGTATTTACTGCACATACTGTTTAATTATAGTACAGTATATTTGAGAATTTCAGATGGAGACTAATCAGATTAATTAGTCATGTCAACAACAGCAACTACAAAGACACATTTAGTAAGGTAGTTAGTGATGAGGCATTTAGTCTTCATTTATTCCATTTGATAAATGTTTCTTTGGAAGCAGACATTTTGGTTTATAGTGATGACAGAAGTGTGTAATGTTGACTTTTAGTATCCTGCACTACTGTAAAGCCATGTGTCTTTACCTCAAACAGAAGTCCGTCTCCAGATATGATGACTAAAGCGTCCCACTGTGACAGATCGGCCTCCCTCACGAGCTCTCGGGCGTGGTTTTGCCGCTCTGCAAAACAACACACACACACACACACACACACACACACACATACATTAAAAGTGTGTACTCAAGCAGGTGTGTCTTTCCTTTAAAAGAAATCTAGAAAGCGGGATACTCTGATTTGTCCTGTCAGCTTCCTCCCTCCACACAGAGGTCAGAGGTCACGGTCAGCCCTAAAGGAGGTCCGATAGTCATTCGCCGTCTCGCTCATGGACACTTCCACAGGTGTTTGCTATGAGCAGCTCAAGTTACACATGACACTTATACATATGTCTTATTTAAATCATGACTAAAAGAGACCTCAGGTAACAGAAGATTCGTAGCCCTCATTGTAATCTTCCTTCCCTTTTCCCCTTCACTTGCCAAATTAAAGTATTGTCGTGGAAGGGAAAGCTGATATACGGTCTTAAATGACGCGTCTACCACGCTGCCAATTAGATCTGATCTGAACTAAATTACCCAGGAGCACTCAAACTAATCTGGGACTGAATAATCTGATGAAGTGGGGGCGTGGTGACAGAGCCAGCTTTCACACTTTCAATCACTTCACTTAATTCTCTCCAATGAATTGTTTGTACAACCTAGAGAGTCATCTACTCAGTGGACTGCTGAACAGGCAAAAATCCGTCTATAGGCAAGCAAACAATTCAACACATACAAGGAATAAAGTATAATAAAGGAATAATGTATTAATATTTACTTGGGTTTATATAGAGCCATAAGACTATTTTTCACTTAATCACAGTTTTTATTAGGCACCTTCCTAGGAAATTACAGACTTGTAAAATAAAGTATAACCACTGTAGTACAGACAGGTAACAGGTAATCTGTAACTGCTGACCAATATATGTAGAATCACTAGAGTGATAAACTTAGTGAGAGGACAGCATATTGTTTTTATTGTAACTTGGAGTAAATTCTTTAACAAGGATCATCTCTGACATTACAATATTCCTACGAAGTATTTGGGAATCCCCTGAAACACATCTTTGAGGGATCCCACACCACACAACTATTGACCGAGATATGTTGGTGGTGAGATTAAGCAGGAGTCAGATCAGACAGATCAGTCAGATATTTATTGAAGAGTTTATACTGGCTATTTAACAACTGATAAACCATCTAGAGTTTGGTCTTCACTAAGCGCTCTATCACCTTTCAACTGTATGTGAGGTTCAGTTGTGCTTGTACCATATGAAAACTTTTTTTGTTCTTCTTCCTAACTAAGTTGTCTGTTCTGAATTTGATCTGTGAGCACAAGATACGTAAGATGAGCTGTGACTGAATTGTTTTAAGACACATTTATCTAATGATCTACAGTATCAAATGCCCTGGTCAGGTCTAACAAAACAACAGAGGATTGTTTCTTATCAATAGCAGCCTTTATGTGATCTAAGACTTTTAAACTAGTGGTTACATTGCTGTGCCTGGGTCTGGATCCAGACTGCATGGGATTTAGGATATTGTCTGAGTCTAGAAACAGTTTCAGCTGATCTGACATTAAGGACTCTATGATCATGGCCAAAACAGAGATATTTGAACTAGTTTTATCATTATTTGAATCAGTGAGATCACCAGCTTTCAGTAAAGTCGTGACATAGGCTTGTTTCCATAAGGAGTGGAAAATGAAAGATTAAAAATGTCAGTGACTTGTTTCGCAATCACCAATGCTCTATTTAAAAAAAAATAAAAGGATCAAGGCCATCAAGACCTGCTGCGTTCTTTGGGTCAGTTGTTTAAAAGGTGCAAACTCAAAGACAGGGCTGACTGAGTAAGATTAGCTACCACTTGCCTGTAGTTTTTTTTTTCCCCTTGAGAATGAGTTGAATAACTAAATGTCTGAAATAAAGCTCAAAAAGTTCAGTTTCTGTGGAAATCTTCTTCTTCTGTAGGGGTTTAATAGTTTTCCAGAACTTAAACTGGTTCTTAAGACTATCAATGGTTAAAGTCAGACAATATTCTGCTTTGGATTTTTTGATACGAGATGTGCATTTATTTTTGAGGGAACTACAGAGCAACCAGTCATCAGAAGAATGTTTTTCTAGCTATGGACTATTGCCTATTTATATATGTGTGTGTGTGTGTGTGTGTGTGTGTGTGTGTGTGTGTGTGTGTGTGTGTGTGTGTGTGTGAGATAGTGAGTGAGTGAGTGAGTGTGTAGGAGTGATAAGTCTCTCTCTTAGACTCCCTGTCTTCTGTCTGAAGGTGAGAGGGCAGAAGGAGCGCTGTGATGTGTGACGCAAAGTCAGTCAAGTGCATCCGACTGCCACAACTTTCACCTTCTGAGGCTTTGCAACACTGGGAGCTTTTTCCTTCTATCTCTCTACTCTTGTCTTCTTTATTTCCCTTTTCTTTTTAAAAACAGCCTCTATTGTTATCGCTGATGGAATATGGATATTACGGATTCTATTTTCTACCCAAGGCATGGCATACCTGACATGCAGACCTGTGCTTTCTTGGTAAAAAATGCAGATGTCGTGGAACATCTGATATATTTCTTTAAAAGACATGAACATCTACAGAGCTGCTACCACAGCCTGTATGAGAGGTTGAAAATTGGCTGTAAAGCTGCTGCAAGTGGAACATTTATTATTATTCCTCTAATAATAGTGGTTTATCTCAGCAAAGTTAACCAAATCACAATCTGAATGTATCTAAGTTGACAAGATATTACTGCCGCTGATATTTATCTATGTATTTATTTATTTAAGGCATTTCAGTTATAGCAGCAGCAGCCATCTTGGTTGTTTATGAAGTCAGTTATTGTGTCAAACCTGCCCCATATCAGATAAAAGACTGTAACTAGCCCAACCGGATCCAGGACTGGTGGAATTTGTCTGAATGGGAGGGGTTTACAGACGTCCCTGCCAGAGCAAATGACATATGAGTAGATTTGTCTGGTTCGCAAGCTTTAAGAAATATACACTGTCCAAGTTATAATCCTGTGCCTCTTTGTTATCATTTATCTCGTTAGATGCTAACTATGTGCCAGAAAAATAATTTTTCATCAATTTTATATAATTTTCTTCCCATAAAATGTAAAATCCTTGAACTCTGGTGAAATGCATCCAACCAAATGTAATTTAGGGATGACTAGCTAACCTGCTCATCACATAAAACTGCACTTCACAGTTAGCTCGTGGGTCGCCAGCAGAGCAATATCTTAGTAAGGTAGTTGAATTTATTCACCTTATTTTCCTCCTCCTGATCTAACAACCCAGGTGAGGGAGGTCTCCACGTCTCTTTACAGGTGTGTATCACGCTGTGGCCACTTTCACACATCCAATCACATCTGTAAGATTTGGTTCAGGTACCACCCAACTAAACTCAAATGAGTCAAATTACTGAAACTAAAGGTCCAACAGTTTCAATGTGACTTTAAAAGGCAGCTACCAATATTCGTTACCAGGGTTCATCTCCTAGGATTATCAAAAACAGGACTGAGGCCACAAGCTGAAACAAATTGTTTTTTTCCAGAGTTGCCTTTTCTATTCACTTAGTGCCAGAAACCCCAACTCTAAACTTTTATATTCGACATAAAAAATACAGCAGGTCAAGCAAAAATATGATAGATAGAAAGATATGATTATTTTGAAAAATTCTGCAGGCCTAGAAATAATCAAGCTTCATTCTTTTCAGGGGCCTGAAAGTAAGTTGTCCTCTCTGTGCCTCTTCAATGTAACTACCTTGTTCTTCCTTTATGTGGCCATTGTGTTAAAGTCTTTACTCATCAGAAAAACAGCAGAGTAATCCCCCCCCCTCCCCCCCCCCCACACACACACTCCCCTCTGGAGAGGGATCTGATTTGTCTGCCTCTCTTCTTCCATTCCCTTCCCTAAACTCTGCAGAATACAGGAATCAATTCCTTCTTATCAGTCCAGTCACATCACATTTCCTTATCTATGCAAACTAAAAAGGACTGAAGGGCCCCAATCAGACAACAAAGCTGTGGAGCAGGGACACTGCAGTGTAGTGGGCGGAGAGCTGAGAGCCGTTTTAGTATGCAACTCCGTTAGATTGATAATGGTAAAACGACGAGACGGAGGAAAACAAATATCAGGGACGGAGATAAATCACACGGTGCTTGTGAGGATTATTATGGTTGTTGCTGCAGAGGAGAGGAGAGGAGAGACAAATAGAGAGGAGACAAATAGAGTAGGGAGGGGAGACAAAAAGGGAGGAAGAAGAGAAGAGAAAAGCAAAAGAGAGGAGAGTTGGAGTTGTTTAGGCCAGCTTAGTTTCTCCCTGTGGGTAGAGGCCGTGGATCGTCCCTAACTCTTTAGAGTTATGCAGATCTCTGCTTCATTACTGGCCTCTCTGGTCGCAGCCTGTGGTGCACGATTTCAAAATGTCCTCCGACGGAAACAAAGATGAGTAAACCCCTAAGCTCCTGTGCAGAGTGAAACTGCATGGCAGCATCATGATTATGTTTGTTATATCGTTTGCAAGCAGCAATGTTCACATACTTGCGTCCTTCGTATGTCCCTGTAGTGTTAACCATTACAACCACTAGGGGGCCCATCATGGCCAAATCCTCGCAGACCACCAGGAACTCACTATACAGGAGGAGGTTTCTATATTGATAATGTTGAGTTCATCTTTGCATCTTGTATTGTTGAAAAAATTAGTTGAATTATAGTTTATTAATTAGTTTATTAGCTGACAAGTTGTGAACATACATATCATCACCTTCTGTGATTTATTGTTAGCAAACAGGTTCTTATTTACACATTGACCAGTTAAGGAGCAACATTGTCATTCTTTTGGAGTCGTATTTGTGTCCACCTGATGAGTATAAGTCCAATATTTATTCTCTTGTAGCTCTGTTTTAGTTTCAACAAGGAGCTCTGTCCTCATGATGACCTTGTTTCATCCTACTAAAGGCCACTTCAGATGAACCTCCACCCTGCCGCTGTCACACACATCCTGACAGCAGCTCTCTTCTGATAGCTGCAGCACTCCCCCTCCACTGAAATGACAGCAGGTGATGACAGTTAATAGCAACG